CCCCCCCCGGGTCGCGGCAGCCGGTACCTTTGCTCGCCGGAACGATCTGACGTACGTCCTTTTTTGTAAGTTTATTTTGTAATATTTTAGTGTGAAGATCTAAAAAGAGAGAAAAAAAAACAAAAAACAGATTCTATATTTTGTAAATTCTATACAGAGGCACTGAGTGTTATCCCGCGATCATTCTATATCGCGGGCGCCGGTCAGACCCGCGCCATTCTTCCCGCGCTTCATCCGGTAATGGACATGGCAGTTTAGTCGGCACCGCAATATACGGCAGTCTGTTACGCCGTCGTGGGGGCTCATTCACACACAGGGCAACCTGCCTTTACGTCCCATTGCATCAGGTTGCATTGTTACGCAGCGCGGCGCATTGTGACTAAGGATGGACTCGTGCGTGTTCGCAGCTCCACACGCAGAGCCCGACAGGAAGCTGACAGCGCCGCAGCGCCAATCACAGGCACTTGAGACATTATCCCGGTCCGCAGCTGCAGAGTTTGGGAAATGTCTCAGTACCTCAGTGATTGGCGCTGTCAGCTTACTGGCGGGCTCGGCACGTGGAGCTGCGAACGCGCCCGAGCCCATTCTTAATTGCGACACGGTAACGCACATCGCAATGGGTGAAATGCACTGTCAGGTTTGATAAAGTTTTTAGAAAAAAAACAAAACTGCAATCCATTGTACAATGAATTGCTTGCACAACGCACACACCAGCGGGCACGGGTTATGTGCGGCCCCCGAACGGGCCCCTTAGGACCTCATTATATCTTTTGTGTTACAGTAACAGGCACATTACCAAAAAATAACTTGCAGCGACATGCGTTGCCATTCAAAACGAACGTAATCCAGCGCACTAAAAAAACGCCCATATTGCCCATAATCCATCGCGCATTACTAATTGCAGAGTTTGCTTTCGGCGCGTCAGCGGCCTCTCTTTTTTGTTTTTTTGTTCGGCGGGCGATTAACATAACGCACCTTCTATGTGACATCATAACAACATCATAACGCACCTCACATGCGTCAACGGGCCCTAAACTTTGACCTCTTTTTCCATTTTTATATCACAATTTTTGACACAAGATTATTTATTCTGAATGCGGAAAAACCCGACGTTTTCGTATCTATTCCGATATAATCGGTTTTGTATCAGTTTGTAGGAACGGCGGCTCAGGACGCGGTTTTCGGGTACGCTGCGACGCTTCGCCTGGCCCCGCCCACCGCCGGCGAGGGGAGATGTATATTGTCTTCCCATTAAACTGCCACGTCTTTCCATGTAATATATACACTTATACGACATACTCCAGGTTTCTTTATTGTATTATTTATAAACCGCATTTAACGACACAACTCCATCCGCGCCGCGGGCCGTCCTGGTAAAGCGGCGACACTCGCCACAAGCTCCTCGCCTGTCCATGCGCTCATGGGCCGCGTGCCCGCAGTGACCGTTGGCTGCGTCTTTCCGTTGGTCAGCTGCTGCAACAAGGATTTCCCATGGAAACTATCTTTGCATTGTTTGAACATTAAATTCTATTGCACTGGTCTGGCTGCGTCTGTGACGTCATTGTGTCTGGTGTGTCATTGCTGGAACGAAGGGGAAGCTGTCGCCCGTAGCAACAAGACTTCATTATTATTATATCAATGCAAACCGGTTACAGCAAATTGTTTATCTTCCCTGATTACCATCACTAGTGAGCCAATACCTGAGTCTCTGCCCCTCCCACAATGGTGAGGTTTCCTCCAGTAGTTTGTGTCTCTGCCCCTCCCACAATGGTGAGATTTCCCCCCAGTAGTTTGTGTCTCTGCCCCTCCCACAATGGTGAGATTTCCTCCAGTAGTTTGTGTCTCTGCCCCTCCCACAATGGTGAGATTTCCTCCCAGTAGTTTGTGTCTCTGCCCCGCCCACAATGGTGACATTTCCCCCAGTAGTTTGTGTCTCTGCCCCGCCCACAATGCTGAGATTTCCCCCAGTAGTTTGTGTCTCTGCCCCTCCCACAATGGTGAGATTTCCCCCAGTAGTTTGTGTCTCTGCCCCTCCCACAATGGTGAGATTTCCCCCAGTAGTTTGTGTCTCTGCCCCTCCCACAGACAGAGAAGGACAAACGGTCTCCCCGTGCAATGATGGGATTTGCAGTTTGGCCACAGCTGGATGGTTAGGGTTTGGTTGCTCCTGATGTAGATTGTGCGGATGATTAGACATCCCCCATGTGGCTCGGATGATATACACTCAGCCAGCTCCCCTATAGTCTCCGTTATTTCCCCTGTTCAGGTTGTGGCTCTGCCTAATGAGGAAATCTGCAGCCAATCACAGCTCTGCGATCTCTGCGACCATCTCCAGTAATGTTACATTTTATAGAAGTCATCGTCCTCATTTTCCTTGTGAGGAGACTACTAACATGAACCCCAGATAGCAGGAAAATCCTCCAATGATCACATTCATCATAGTTCTATCCCCTCAAAGACCGCTCCCCCCCTCTGAGCCCTGAAGAAGGGGGTGTGACCTGCCCCCGAAACGCGTTGAAGGACTTATGATATCGTACGATGAATCATTAAAGGATTTGGACTCCTCCCCCATTTGGTTTGCTATTGGTGTTTTGATGCTTTGAGGATTTTACTGCCATCCAAGGTCAGATGTCCCCTCACTTATTTTTTTACCAGATCCGGAACACAGACGGCGATTTAAGTGACACCAAACTCCGGAGTGAAATCTAAAATATATTTAATTACCCGAACTCCGAGCAACAATGTATCTTACAATGTATCTTATTTGTGTATCACTCGGATGGAGATCCTCCAATCATATCTGACACTGTCCTTCCTTCTGGAGGAGGGGCTACGTCTGTTCCACATGGTCCCTGTGTGTGTTGTAAAGTAGTCACCGCTCCAAGCTCCGCCCCCCCCGGGATGGACTACAATCATAATACAAATCAGTAAACTAAACCTGAGATTGAAGTCCCTCATACACTTGTTAAAGGAGAACTATGAGTTCAGGGCTTTCCCCATAGTTCTCCTTAGGGTAACGGGAGGACACAAACTAGCGTCCTCCCGTCACCCTAAGCTCAGTATATAGGGAGCTGCAGCTCGCGGCACTCCAACTTGCTTTGGAGTGCCGGTGTCTGTCCTTTACTGATATTTTGTCGGAAGCCACCCGCTGACACCTGCTGCACCCACCTTCCATTTTTGGAGCAGCGGCTCGGAGTGCGATGGGTACACGGACTGTAGCTCGCACTATACGTCACCATCTGAATGACAGGGGACCCAGGAGGACCCCACTGCTGACGCAAACATCAAAAAGCCAAAACTTACCCGAGGGAGCCAAAATCCTTTTCGGGAGAATGACAAAATGGCAGATTTTTGGTGCAGCCCATCATTCGTTCTACTGTTTTCCCAAAAAGAAATGGAAAAAAATCCAGTCCCTCCAGTCACACATAGTGGTGGGGAGGGGGTGGGGGGGTCACTGATGTTTTGGGGTTGCTTTGCTGCTTCAGGCGCTGGATGTCCTGACGGTGTGCACGGCATTCTGAAATCTGAAGACTACCATGACTACCCTACTAATGTAGGGCCCGGCGTCAGAAAGTTGGGTCTCCGTCAGAGGTCACGGGTCTTACAGCAGAACAATGACCCAAAGCCCCCAGAAATGGTTCCAGACAAAGCGCTGGAGAGTACTGGACCGGCCAGCAACGAGTCCAGATCTGAATCCCATAGAGCTCCTGTGGAGGGAAAAGGAACCTTCCAATCCGAGAGACCCGGAGCAGTTGGCGGAAGAGCGCTCCAAAATTCCTGTACAGAGGTGTAAGGCCCGGTTCACACCTGGGCGTCTTGTGGCGCGTTCCTACGCTCTGCAAAACGCTCAAACACCGAAATCCCATTGTTCCCTATGGGCATGGTTCACACCTGGGCGTATTACAGGCCGTATGAACGCGCTACAAAGCGCCCTACGCCCCAAAGAAGTACAGGAGCTTCTTTGGGGCATTTGTCGCGCGTTTCCATTGGAATACAGGCAAGCAGCCCTCGGAAACGCGCGTTTTTTTTTACCGCGAATCGCGGTAAAAACGCGCAACAAACGCGCATATTCCATACGCCTAGGTGTGAACCCAGCCTTAGAAACTCATTGATGGTCACAGGAAGCCATTGATCCAAGGGCTGGGCTACCAAGAATTAATTGGGGGTGCCAATAATTTTGTCCAGCCCATGTTTTGCGTGGAATGCGTCAGATTCGGCTTTTTTTTTTCTCCACTTTTTTTGTGTCACCGATACAAAAACACAAGAAACAAACATGAGAACGCCGAAACATTTTGTCATTGCGACACTTTTCTGAGCGAAGTGGTGCGTTATCTGACAGAAATGC